AAGATTATATATAGAGATTTGACTGTATGACAGACTAATCTTCTGCTGACACAGATGAATAGCTGATGGGCTCTATAAAGAGGAAGGCAAGTAGTTGCATTTCCACATCTAAGGACTTATACAAATGTCTGTGGACCTGTTTGCAATTGCTATTTCATATTTGTAATTACAGCCTGTCCAACTGTTAGATCTGTAGTCTGAAAACTATGGGAGTGTCAGGGTTCTACCTTCAGCTTGGCTCAACCCTGGCTGTTACAGCCTTTTGGGGAGTGAGCTAGCAGATGGAAGAGCTGTGTATGTGTGTACATGCGTGTGTGTGTTCAAATAAAATGAAAAAAGTAAAAAATTTAAAAAAAAAACACTAGTTTCTATTATGGTGGACAAAGCAAACATAAATAGAGAAATCACCAGGGAATAGCTTAATCTCTTCCTAATTAAAAAAAGTATTGACTTTTTAAAAAAGTCAGAAATGACTTAGGAACTAAGTTAACTGTTAAAAGACTTTAAAAATTTTTAAAAATAACATATCTACAAATTTTCTTCAGTTAAGAGAATAATTCCTTTAATAACTGCTGTCTTTAATTTTCTGTGGTTAGGTTGTAAAGTTTTGTGGTTGTAAAGTCCAGTGCCAACAGGGACCAAGTAGATAAGGTAATTGAGTAAAGCAGGAGAAACTACAAATTTAGCCCTTATGTAAAGTCTTGTTTTGATACAAAGATACTTCAGAAAGTTTATGGGAAATAGAATTGGAAGATAGATTTTGGTGCAAAAATTTTTGAAAGGTAAGAAATTTTTGTTTCATGATGTACAGTTTCTGTGAACTTTTTGTAGCAGCCAACTTAATTTAAAAATCAAGAAAGGAGAAAGAAAAACTGGATCAAATAGATGTGACCTCATGGCTGATTTAACTTTCAGGCCAGCAGTCAAGTAACATGTTAAGTAAAATTCTCCCTGATCAAATAGCATATTTTTTGCAGTGAGCCATTCCACTTCTCTGTGCCCATCTGTAGGTGCTATTTCCCTTACCACATTTGTCAGATTGAGAAATTGACACATACAGAGTAGGAAGTTTATTACAATAGTTTCCCCATATCCCACAGGGATATGTTCCAAAAGCCCTAGTGGCTACCTGAAACCACACTTGTACTCAACCTTGTATATGAGAGGTCTTCAGAACGTTTGTGGAAAATATGTACTATGAAAAAAAAAAAAAAAACTATGCATAGATTTTAACATTTTTTGTGCCAGAATAAACTTATCTTTTAAATTCCATTTTCTTTACTTTTTATCAACCCTTGTATGTTCAAGGAAGAACTCTCAAAATGATGTGTTATAAAAGGGAAATTTTTTTCATGTAAACAGTCTAGGTACATCCCCTCTACTATCTAATTTTTATCTATTTAACATTAATATTCCTTCCAATCACATTTAAGGTACATTAGTATGTAAGTAGTTTTTGTTTTGTTTTGTTAAATGATCATCCTTACCTTAAAAGCGTTTGGCAATAGGGGAGGGCAATTGGGCATTTGGACTGGCTGTTAAGGGGCCTTCTAGGAAGCCTGCATCCCATATCAGAGTGCCTGTGTTCCAGTCCCAGCTCTGATCCAGATTCCAGCTTCCTGCTAATGCATACCAAGGAAGGCAGTAGGTCTTGGCTCAAGTACTTGAGTCTTGGCCACCTACTTGGGAGACCTAGAATGGGTCCCTGGTTTCTGGCTTCAGCCTGACTCAACCCTAGCTGTTGCAAGCTTTGGGATAGTGAACCTGTGCAAATAGGAGATGTCGTCCTCTCTCTCCCCCTCCCCTTTCCTTCTCCCTCTCCCTATTTATTGAAACAGAACTGATGTTACTATTTTCATGAGAACTCTGGAAAATTTCAGATTGACAGAATATTTTTTTAGATTTATTTATTTATTTGACAAGCTGAGTGACAGAGGCAGCGGGGTGGCAATCAATCCTCCATCTGCTGTTCACTCCCCAAATGACCACAATAGCCAAGGCTGGCCAGGCTGGAGCCAGGAGCCTGGAACTCATTCTGGGTCGTCTACATAATGGCAGGGGCCTTTTTAGACTTTTAATTTGGAAGTTGTTTTAACTTCTAAAAGCTGTTGAGTTTTTACATTCAGATGATCTCATTTTCTTGACATTTCTATGTCCTTTATTGCTTAAGCTTTTGATACTACATGTTCTTGGCTAAATTTACAAGTTGGTGATATTGCTATGATATATTTAGAATATCCACATCTTAAAATAATGTAGAACTACGTGATCGGGATTACTGAAGTATTCCATTTCAATCAGACATATCATGTTAATGGGAGTTTAAGCTATATTTAAAGCTGAATTTTGCTGATAATGTTAAATTTAACAGACATTTTGAAATAAATTTAGTTCCTAAGTCATTTCTGACTTTTTTAAAAAGTCAATACTTTTTTTAATTAGGAAGAGATTAAGCTGGCTATTCCCTGGTGATTTCTCTATTTATGTTTGCTTTGTCCACCATAATAGAAACTAGTGTGTTTTTTAAAAATTTTTTACTTTTTTCATTTTATTTGAACACACACACGCATGTACACACATACACAGCTCTTCCATCTGCTAGCTCACTCCCCAAAAGGCTGTAACAGCCAGGGTTGAGCCAAGCTGAAGGTAGAACCCTGACACTCCATCCACATCTCTCTTCTGGGTGGCAGGAGCCCAAGTACTTGGACCATCTTTTGCTGCATTCCCAGACATGTTAGTGGGGAACTGGATTGGAAGCAACAGGTGCTCTCATGGGATGCTGAGTCACCCACTGTACCACAACACTGGCCCCGATTCATCTGAATTTTAGGACTTCAAAGAATACTGCTTTTAAAATTACCTAATTTTTATGACATACTTTTTTGAATACGCTTTCAAACATTTTTCTGTGAATTGTTATGTATTATTGGAATGTGTTTTTCACCTCCATGAAAAAATGTATCAGCATTTTTCTGTGTGCTAAGTGTATGGATGGGATGTAACATGTTTCCTTTAGCCAATTCCACTTGAGTGGGCACTTACATTTTATTTCTTCTGTACATGAAAGTTTTTTAAAAATCTTTCTATTATAGAAGTTTGATGTACATTCATGTTAATTAGGGTGTGTATTTGTGTTTTTGCTACTGTTAGGCTAATGCTGCTACTATCAAACTAGGAGAAATGAGTAACACCTACATGATTTTCTGGATACTTGGTTGGCATTACACCAGTTTTTTAATGATGATTTTTTAAATTTGATTTGGTGTGCTCTTTTTTTCTTTGTTTTATCACCTACTGTTAGGATGTTTGGGAAGGCATATAAGATATTTAGACACCTCTGTTAATGATAAAGCTGGAAGTAATATGAGGAAAATTGTGCGGATTTTTCTTAGCTTTATCACATTTGATCAACCTTAAATTACAGTAATAGTGAAATTGACTTGAGTTATTTAAAATTCCTTATCTCTAAAGGGAAAACAGTTTTGTTGAAACTTTTTAGCTTTAATGTCTTTTCCCATGAAACCAGTTGTTTCGATTACATGTGGCTTCTTGTGTTCTTGATGGGTAATTTTTAAACTGGAATGTTATTCAGTGTGTAGATTGAAATGTCCAGAGATTCTGGTTCTGAAAAAGGGCAGGGATGTCCATAGATAATGTGAATCTTGAATACCACCTCTTTGTTGCCGATGGTTCCTAGAACATGGTTCTCAGTGAATTGGCTGTACATGATTATAGATACTTGAATCGATATTCTTGGAATAAAGTTCTAAAAGAAAGGTTACTCAGACAAAGAGGTTTTTTGTGTGTGTGTAAGATTTACTTGGTTGGAATTACAGAGGAGAGACAGAGAGAGAGATCCACTGGTTCATTCCCCAGATGGCCAGGAACTTCTTTCAGGTCTCTCATGTGGGCAGGGACCCAAAACACTTGGACCATCTTCCACTGCTTCTCCCAAGCCATTAGCAGGGAACTGGATTGGAACTGGAGCAGCCAGGGGGCCAGTACTGTGGCATAGCAGGTAAGGCCGCTGCCTGCAATGCCAGCATCCCATATGGGTGCTGGATCGAGTCCCGGCTGCTCCACTTCCTACCCAGCTCTCTGCTATGGCCTGGGAGAGCAGTAGAGGATGGCCCAAGCCCTTGGGCCCCTGCACCCTCATGGGAGACCCTGAAGAAGCTCCTGGCTTCCAGCGGTTGGAAGACCACCCTGTCTCCCTCTGCTGTCTGCCTCTCCTCTCTCTTTGTAACTCTGACTTTCAAGTAAAACAAATAAATCTTTTTAAAAGAAAAAAAAAGTGGAGCAGCCAGGACAGGAACTGGCACCCATATGGGATGCCAGTGTCCCGGGCAGTGGCTTTACCTGCTATGCCACAATGCTTTGGTGTGGTGTGCTTGAGGTTTCTCAATACATGATGCTAGATTGTCCTCAAAGGATATTATTACTTCTCTTTATATTCTCATCTGCAGCATATCAGAATAGTATTTGCTACCCTTGCCAATATTAGATAGCCTCAGTCTTTTCAATATGCTGTAGTAAATGTATTGAAGTTTTTCTGAACCTTGAACTACAGGGAAATTTTTGGCATTTATTGTAGAGTAGTATTCTGTCTTTTTAAGTAGTTATTGGCTACATTTATTCCTTAGTATACACAATTACATGGAAGCTGTGAGTAGAGTTTGGATTGAATGGCTGGCAAAAGTTTCTTACAAGTGGTAATATTAGCAGAATATAAACTCACTATGGGAAGATTAGATTTATCAGTCATGTAACCAAAGATCCTTCTTATTAATGTAGGTATAGCCTGCTTTCTTTAGTCCTTCACCAGTGGACAATTAGATCTGTTTTTTTACTATATAAAAGTAGTGATTGGCATTCTTGTTCAGTCATTTCTCCTGTAAAGTTTTCACAAATGGTTAATTAGGATGCATTTTTAAAATATTTTCATCTTAACAACGGAGCTAATTATATTTTATTGAGTACATTTTAATTTGTTCCAGTAGCCGGATCGAGCTGGGAGATGTGACACCACACAATATTAAACAGTTGAAGAGATTGAACCAAGTCATCTTTCCAGTCAGCTACAATGACAAGTTCTACAAGGACGTGCTGGAGGTTGGAGAGCTAGCAAAACTTGGTATATGATTTCCATTTGTATTCTAGAACCCTATTTTTAAGTATTAGAGTAGAAGGAATTAACTAACTTAATATCCTTATTTTACAAGTGAAAAAAAGGTGTGTTCTAGTTCTGAGGAAAATTTCAGAGAAATCAAGATGAAATATTTGAATTTTAAAATATTAAATGTTCTTTATTATTTTGGTTATGTGCTTTGCTCTTCAGGAGGCTTAAACTTACAAGTGTTTTGAGGCCATTAATATTCATAGATTAACTTATAGAATTTAATGCTGATACCAACACTTTAGTTCTTTAGAAGGGGAGATTAAGTACTGTGTTATTTTGTCTTTTGAACTTTATATCTTTATTTTCTGTGGCAGCCTATTTCAATGATATTGCTGTAGGTGCAGTATGCTGTAGGGTGGATCATTCACAGAATCAGAAGAGGCTTTACATCATGACGCTAGGATGTCTGGCACCTTACCGAAGGCTAGGAATAGGTAAAATTATTTGTAATTTTTTTTACTTATTGAAAGAAACATAAATACATTGTTAATATACCTGGCTAACATACCTTACTAAAGTCTATTATTCCTCTTAGGGGTACCAGAGAAAGTATTATTGAGTTCTGTAAAATAATGTGAAAATAACTGGTGTTTATTAATATAGTTCAGTTGGAAGCACCTCATAGATTTATCACTTTTTTTTTTCTATTTTTTGAGTACCTGGAAGTGATTGTATAAAAAGATTGCTCTCCTGATAACAGTTTTAAACATATGTAGGTATTATATATAGAGAGAGCAAAAGTTTGGAAACATAAGGATGTGTATACTTCATAAATTCTATTAGCAAACAATAAGTAATTAAAATGGCAAATAGATGCCTGTAATTAAAAGGTTGACTTATGAAGTTACTTATTTGCAACTTGTTCTTCTTAATAGGGACGAAAATGCTAAATCACGTCTTAAACATCTGTGAAAAAGATGGCACTTTTGACAACATTTATCTGTAAGTAAAATAATATTTAATGTTCTTACATAAAGTATTTAAATTAGCAGCAAAAATTTCTACTATAAACTTTAAAAGAGGATCACTTCTTTCATTTTGTCTTTGGAAACATTTGTGGCAGTTTAGTTGAGCCTCAGTACTCTCAGGGATTGGTTCAAGGACCACCCTTAGATACCAAAATCTGAGGATGCTTAAAACAGTGTAGTATTTGCATATGACATAATGCACATCCTCTTGTGTAATTTTAAATCATCCCTACATTACTTAGAATACCTAATATGATGTAAATGCTATGTAGATAGTTGTCATTTTTTGACTAGAAAATAATGAGCAGTACAGATGTGCTTTCTTTTTGAATATTTTCCATCCTTGATTGGTTAAGTCTGTGGGTACAGACCTTGTGCATATAGAGGGCTGAGTATAGTTATGAATTTTTTTGTAAGATTTATTTATTTATTTGAAAGGCAGTTACAGAGAGGAAAAGGCAGAGAGATAAAGAGAGATCTTCTGTGCTCTGGTTCACTCCCCAGATGGCCGCAACAGCTGGAGCTGGCCATCAGGAGCCAGGAGCTTCTTCCAGGTTTCCCACGCAGGTGCAGGGGCCCAAGGACTTGGGCCATCTTCTACTGCATTCCCAGGCCATAGCAAAGAGCTGGGTTGGAAGTGAAGCAGCCGAGACTCACTGACGCCTACATGGGATGCTGGTGCTGCATGCCAGGGCTTTAACGTGTTGTGCCACAGCAGCAGCCCCTGTTATGAAGTTTTATGTGTTTTGTTTGCTTTTAAAAATAGATTAGAAACTTGATATAGCTAGCTATTTGATAATCAGGTAAGAGTTCCAAAGTCATAGGAATGAAACCAGGATTAAGACTCACATATTGCATAGTACAAAATGATTAATACTGCTTTTCTCATGCCATATACTATTAGTACTTTCTATGTTTTTTTCAAGGCTATTAGTGATGTGCATATTTGTAGTAGAATTTATTCATCAAAATCAGATTATAATTATACTTGGATCTCAAGAGACCACAGATGGGGCCTATGCTGTGGCTCACTTGGTTAATCCTCCACCTGCGGTGCTGGCATCCTATATGGGCACCAGGTTCTAGTCCCGGTTGCTCCGCTTCCAGTCCAGCTCTCTGCTGTGGCCTGGGAGAGCAGTGGAGGATGGTCCAGGTGCTTGGGCCCTGCACCCCATGGGAGACCCGGAAGATGCTCCTGGCTCCTGGCTTCAGATCGGTGCAGCTCTGGCCGTCACGGCCATCTGGGGGAGTGAACCAGCAGATGGAAGACTTTTCTCTCTGTAACTGTCTTTCAAGTAAATAAAATAAATCTTTGAAAAAAAGAGACCACAGATTATTTTCACAGTATAGCATGTTTTTATAATCAGTCAGAAAGAGGGTATAGTTAGGCATTTGAGGCCCTGATTTTTTTTCTTTTTTGCAAGTGTTAATATGGAGGCCTTTGAATCATCTTTATTGTCTTTTCTCTTTTTACAGTAAAAAAAAAAATCATGATTTCTAGGGTATATTACATACCTTTGTTGACTGCAGGAATAAGCACTATTATTGAGCCTCTTAATCTCAGCCATCTGTCTTGCAAATGTAGGGATTAAGTTAAAAGTGTAAAATTGTCACCCAGAGTTTTTCTGAAATACTTGCCTAATCTTTGTTGCATACTGATAACTAAAGACAATGTGACACTATCTGGAGAACTGATGAACTTTGATTTTTTTTTCCTGGTATTCTATCCCTCAGGCATGTGCAGATCAGCAATGAATCGGCAATTGACTTCTACAGGAAATTTGGCTTTGAGATTATTGAGACAAAGAAGAACTACTATAAGAGGATAGAGCCAGCAGATGCTCACGTGCTACAGAAAAACCTCAAAGTCCCTTCTGGTCAGAATGCAGATGTGCAAAAGACAGACAACTGAACAAATTACAAATGAACTTTCTTGCACTTGCTTGTCGCCAAATAAAAGAAAGGCCCATTGATTCCCCCCCCCCCTTTCCTTTAAAGCTTTCTTCCTTCCTTGTTCTTGTTTCTCCCCCTTTCTTTCCTTTCTTCTAGAAGTTTCATTCTTTCAAGGACTTTCAAAAATAATCATGTTTGGATTGTTTTAGTTCTCTTATTTTTTGTGAGGTGGTTTGATTGAAGGAAAGAGAAGGTAGATATGTATAGTTTCATAGTTAAGATATATGGTCCCAAAAATTTGGGTGTCATAATTTCAAATTTTTTAGCTGATTTTTTTTTTAATGTCCTGCTTTCACATTGAAGGTCAGAGCCTACAAAACCTTTCATTTCAAAAGACAAAAAGCAGCAGCAATATCTTGTTCTCCAATTCATAGACAAGTTTAGTGTGTTTGTGGTACTTTGAATTTTTAAAGACTATTTGGGGGATTAATCCCTTGACATTGCCTTCACTCCACCTTTAGTCCTTCCTTCTGAGCACTCTCAGGAGTTGAACCATTGTTATCCTTGTTAGAAGTACTAAGTTTATTTTGGTTTCTAAAGCAATTTATTTCTTCTCTTGTTGGTGGATGGGGCAGTTTGGGTAGGTAGTGTTATACTTTGGTTTAAGTATTTGAATTAAACTGCTTTTTTGTTAATGAGTGGGCTTGTTAGCAGGTTTTTTTTCCTGCTGTTGATTGTTACTAGTGGCATTAACTTTGAGAGTTGGGCTGGTGAGATTAATTTTTCTTTAATATCCCAGCTAGAGATATGGCCTTTAACTGACCTAAAGAAGTTTGTTGTGATTTAAGTTTTTTCTCCTTTTCTTTTTCTTCAGTAAATCCAGTAATAGTTTCGTATTAAAAATGGAATTGATGTCCTTATAGGTCAATGCCCTTAAGTAATCCTTAAGCAGATGTTTCTTCTTGGACATATTAAAAAATAACCTAAAAAGGAAGCATAGATGTACTTGTGGCACAATAAATGCATTTAATGTTGACTAATGCAGGCTGTTAAAAGTGTGACCATCAATCATTTGATAATACAGGTAAGAATATCTAGACAGTATTTTTGAGAATAACATAGCTGTGATATACCTTATCTGTTGGAGAACATCTCAGATTTGCTTAGACTCTGTGCCTATGTATTTTGAGTTGAAGAATTTTGGGTAAGGGGAATTGTGAAACATAGTGCTTCTATTCTTGGAAAAGTAGAAGTACAAAGTGTTAATAATGCAGATATCACTGTGACCTCTTCTACTGATATGACTGGTTTATGCCAGATAGTTTTCTGGCACTTAGTGAGTGACTTTGACAGATTGAGTTTTGTGAGATAGGAGATATCTGAAATATTCATGTTTTCCTCCCATAGTCCCATCTCCAATATTTAGAACAGATTGCCAGTACTGATGACCCCAAAAATGCCCTCATTAAACTTTAAAACAGTGTACAGGGCTTGGACTTAAGTGGAATATTGATTCATAATACTTATCCTGTTTTGTAAATGCTGGTATGAGGTTTCATCTCCAGATATGTTAAATGACAATTATTATGCAAAGTGCTTATGTACACTTTATAATGTTAAGTTTTTGTTTGAGAATGTGAAAGTACAAAGTACAGTAGACTTTGCCAGACTTAATTGAGTGCCAAGAATAATACAGAAAAGAAAGATAATTGATGAGTGAGTTTATAGGGTTCTAAACTCCAGATAGTTAAATGTAGAAAAGACCATACTGGTTTTTAGGGTATCAGTTTCTTAAACGTTTAAACAGTCCAAATCTAAGGTTAGAAGAAAAGTTTAGTAGTTAAGCACCTTTATCTTCATGGATAAGTTTCAGCTTGGTCTTGCCAAGAAAAGAGTGCTTAAGACACAGAAGGCATAATTAGTTTGAAGAATTCAGCTTTTTTGTAAACTTCCAGATATCAAAATAGATTTTGATATATAAATGACACTGCCTCTATTTCTATAACCATTTCACCTGGACTGTCTAATCAGTCCTATGAATGTATCCCTAAATGTTGTTATTGAAAAACCGAATAGCTGCCTCATTATTAAGTACATGTTATTTAAGGAAGAAAAAAATTTTGAATTGAGTGTTTAGGTTCCCTATCATAGAATTTCTTTTTCCACACTTGTCAGTGACTTATTCTAAATTGTAAATGTTTGTAAAGGGTTAATTGTCCTACATCAAACTTGTATTCTGTCCACTTATAGAGGAAGAGGAAGTGGAACAGGTAGAAGCTAGGTCTAGTTCATATGCCTATGAATCAGTAAAGACTAATGTAATGTCCCATGTTGATTTGATTATTTGATATATGGTGAAAACTATCTTTAAAGTCAAACAATACTTGTGTTAACTGGAAGATCACAATGTATATTCATCATATTTTTCAGGTCAGATAGTTCTTACTGTGAGCAAAACAGTTAAAATTTTACTGTAGGGTATTTCCATTTGGGTTCTAAAGAAAAGCATCTGTAGAGAAATCTATGCAATATATAATTTGTCCAGATTAGTTTTTATTTGAGGAAAGAAGTTCTGAAATGTATCTCAAAGGCAGTTACTCATCAATTGAAAGTCCTCCAAAAAGAGAACTATTGGGAAACTTTGATATGTGGTGGTGGAAAAAGAAAAGCTCCCTCAGTTTTTTGGAGGGGATAACTTTAAAAAAAATACTTAATGGTTAAGTTTACTTGGTGCAGTAAAGATTAAACTTGTCAATTTTAACATTGCTGTTACATCTGAAATAAACTTACGTGATGTTCTGGTAGTGATCTGTGATGTCTATGAATGCCAAGGAAAACTTGAATTATGCTGAATTCTGCAGTCAAGATCTATATGTAGTTGTATATTGCTCTTCTGTTTCATTTCCTTTCACACTTCTTTAATATCTAATTTAAAACTCATTGAAGTAGTCCAGCTGTAATCAAGTTACCCTATTTTACACCCTTTGGAACTTGATAGAACTACTACCTAAGATCAACTGGAGTTCAGTCCTGATGAGAGAAAAAATAAGATCCAAAAAAAGAGTTGTCCTGCTACTGCATTTTGATTTTAACTGTGGGTAACATTCACATCTTTCTTTTTTATTTGAGGAAGAAGTTTATAGTTGACTGAAGAAACTTAAATATTTTCCTGAATATGAAATATGAATTTGAAATTATGTCTTTAGGAAAATTAACTCAAATTTGCTGATTCCATTTAAGAAACAGTGGATGATCTTTTTGCTAATGTGTCTTATCATTGCTGAGCTCATCACTCTCAAATTTAGCAGCTTAAAACAACAAACATATTACCCCACAGTTTTTGAGGCAGAAATGAGGAACAGCTTAGCTGGATGGTTTTGGCTTGAAATCTCATAAGGTTGCAGTCAAGCTGTCAGCCAGGACTGTATCTGCTTGAAGTGTTGACAAGGACTAGAGGAGCTACTTAAAGATGGCTTGCTCACATAGCTGTTGGGACTCTCTGCCTTGCTATGAATGTTTCTATAGGACTTCCTGAGTGACAACTGCCATCTGGCTTCACTCAGTGGTCCAAGAGAATAAACAGAAGCCATGCTCTTGTATAGCTTAGCCTTAGATGACTTGACTTTCGCCATATACCAGATCAACCATTATACCAGCGTGGTGCAGTGTAGGAGGGAATAATACAAGTATGTGAATACTGAGGTGAAGATCATTGGGCATTTAGGACACTGGCTCTCACACTGGCAAGGGTGGTGAGGTTATGTTTTATTAGTGTCTCAAAGGATTATCCCAAGGAGGGTTAGAAAGCACTACACTTGATAATTCCAACTATGAAAGAAAGGGAGTTAGCCTAAAAGTTCTGTGTTTGTGGTTGGTTCTAAAAAGAAAGGGAAGACTCAGATTGATGCTTTCCCAGCTAATGTTTTTGAGTACTTTAAAGAACTTAAGATGCTGTGTTCACAAGAACAAGAGTGAACCTATGGGAATCTTTCAGGGAAAAATATTGCCTATGGCAGAAGGTGCTGAATTATATCTCCCATCCAAGGCTGAACCACAGGAACTTAATTCTGGATTATAATACTGCCAAGTAAACACAACCATATGGAAATAAAGGCTTGAGTCATTTTGGAATGTAAGTGTCATTAACACTGGGGAATGTGAAGTCAGGACAGTTATTGGGACAGAAACTCAGCTTTTTGTTTCTGTAAACTTAAAAGTACTTGACTTAGGCAGAAATTTTTTATCTAGAGTCGAAGTCTGATTCAGAAACATTTGTGAGCAGGACATTACTGTGAAGCATAGAATTTAAGTCTTGAGTGATGATGGTCTTTTTATGTTGCAATGAAAACCTAAATCCAGCATTTGGGAAGATACTCTATTGAATATTTAGGTGTTTGTGAACTTTGAGGTATTCTGGATTTACAGAAGTTACCTTGCCATATAGCTTAATTTTATCCCAGTTTTATTTGCTATCCTCAAAAATTGATGTTTGAGCTCAACAAAGGCTCTAAATGGCCAATGGCCTGAAAGAATATGTAATGATAAATTTTTTCTGTTTTGTTGACCAAACTTGAGGAGCTTATTAAGGTCTCTCATCCTTGAGAATCATACTTATCAATAATGGAAGTCTTGTATAATGACTAGTCCCAGTGATCAATTTCTGTTCACAATTGATCATAATGATAGACTAAGAACCAAAGGGATCACATAAACAAGAATAGTGTCTGCAAACACTAGCTGATAGAATAAAAAAAGGAGAGAACGATCCAACATGGGAAGTGAGATACACAGCAGACCCATAGAATGGCAGATGTCCTAAACAGCACTCTGGCATCAGAATCAGCCCTTAAGGCATGCAGACCCGGCTGAAAAGCCCATGAGAATATTTCAGGCATGGAAAGCCAAGATACTGTGGGGGAAAAAAAAACCTAAATGAAAGATCTCCGCAATTGCACATCTCTTCCCTCTTTTAGCTTTCTGCTAATGCACACCCTGAGGGCAACAGGTGATGGCTGAAGTACTTGGGTCCTTGTCACACTCAGGAGTCCTAGATGATCTCTGCCTTTCAAGTAAATATTCAAAATGCTGCTAAAGAAGCCTAAAGGATAATTCTTACCATTAAATGCATATAAGGAAAATATCTTCTGTCAAAGATTTTTTTTTTTTAAGATTTTATTTATTTATTTGACAGGTAGAGTTATTGAAAGGTCTTCCATCCCATAGTTTACCCCCCAAATGGCTGCAGTGGCCACAGCCATGCCAATCAGGAGCCAGGAGCCTCTTCCCAATCTCCCATGTGGGTACAGGGGCCCAAGCACTTGGGCCATCCTCCACTGCCCTCTCGAGCCACAGCAGAGAGCTAGACTGGAAGAGGAGCAACCAGGACTAGAACCTGGTGCCCATATGGTATGCCAGCACCACAGGTGCCGGCCCCTGTCAAAGATTTTTAAATTTCAACCTTAATAAACTAAAAAATGAAGAGTCAGTTGCACCTAAACTGAGAAGAAAATAACATAAACATGTAACTCAGAAATAGTTGGACAAATTGAATCTGTACTTAAAACTCCTCCCATAAAGTAAACTCCAGGTCCAGATGGCTCTTTTTTGTGGGTTTTATAAATAGGGAAGAAATAGTGTCAATTCAGCATATTCTAAAAAAAACAAAGGAATATTGCCCAACTCATTATACTGATAACGAAACCAAATAAAGACATGACGTTAATACAGGTGTGAAAAACTTTAGGAAAATGCTAGCAAATCAACCCCAAATTATTAAAGTGATGTGTGATCAAACAGGTGTTAGTCCCAGGAATGAGTTTGATAAAAATTATTCACTGTCAGCAACATTTTTTAAAATGTGATTAATAGAGGAGACAAAAAGTACTTGACAAGATTTTAACATTCATAACTTTAAACACTAGGAATTAAAAAACAACCTGAAAAGATAAAATCTTCAACCATCACCATACTTTGGTAAAGGGAATTCTTTGCCTCTAAGAATGGAAAGTGGTAACGGCATGCTTTCAATACTATACAATATTGTACTGAAAGACCAAGCCAGTCCAATAAGATAAAAAGAAACATGCAGATTGGAAAGTAAAATAGTTTATATTTGCAGATGATTAAATAGTAAACACTAAGATACCCCCAAAATTTTAAAAGCTACTAGAACATACAGGGTAACAAGATCACAAGATATAAAAATTGCATTTCTAACTAATATTAAAAATTTTAATATAGATTTATTTTTTGATGTTTTATTTGAAAGGTGAGTTACACAGGGAAACGACAGCAATATTTTCCATCCACTGGTTTACTCCCCAAATACCTGCAACAGCCAGGGGCAGGCCAGGCTGAAGCCAGGAACCTGGAAGTCCATCTGGATCTCCCATGTGGGTGGCAGAGGCCCAACCACTTGGGCCATCTTCTGCTCTCCCAGGTGCATTAGCAGGGAGCTGTAACTGGTGGCCATGGGAAAAAAGTGTGTGACTTTATGTTAGTCAAAGGTGTCTTAGATATGACACTGTAAACATGAGCCACAAAAGAAATAATTGATAAGCTGGATATAGAAAAGAGCTGCTATTTGAAAGATACCATTAGAAAATAAAAAATCAGGAATGGGTAGAAAATATTTGCACGCACGTATTTGAAGTTTTGTAATCAAATATATAAAGAATTCTTGAAATAAAGAACCAATAACAATAAAAATGGGCAAAAGATTTGAACAAGGCTTCAGTAATGTACAAAAGACTTAAGCACAAGAAAAATGTGCAGCATTAGCAATATGAAAATGCAAGTTAAAATCACAAACACCATGATGCCTCACTTAGAATGACTAAAATTTAGACTGCCAATCCAGGCGTTGACAAAACAAACTGCTGGGGGGAATATAAAATGTTAACAGTTTTGTGGAGCAATTTGGTGTTTTTTTTTTTTTTTTTAAAGATAAACACCTACCAAGGACTCAACCCTTATAGAGGATATTTACTCATGTATTACACGAAATGAAAGCAAATGCCCATACAAAAGACATCCATGGATGTTCATAGCATCTATTTGTAATAGTTAAAAGGGAACAATCCCATTTTCCACTAAGAGGTGATACGTGTATCACCATATAGAGCTCATCAGTTGAAGATAATGAATTACAGATGTACACAATCTTAAAATACACTAAAAGAAGATAGATTGAAAAGTATATATGCTGAATGATCTCATTGGTATAAAATCCCAGAAACTGAAAGCTAATGTATTGGTACAGCAGTAGTTGCCTGGGGAACAGAATGAAGGCAAGATTAAGAATCAGGAGCAAGTCACAGATTGGGTGGAAATGTTTGCACATCATGTATCTGAGAAAGGGGTTTAATAATTCAGAATACATAGGGAACTTGTAACTCAGAGGTGTGAGAGTTCAGGACCAGCCGTGCCTGTCTGCCCACTGGCGAAATTCAGAGGGCAAATAGAATAGGGGATGGAGAGGACAAGGTGAAGGAGGCAGCAAGAGGCCATCTGTCCAGACCCAGGCCGAAGGGCTCTTTATGCGCTCAGGGCAGCTTGGGGCCTCTCGGCTCACGGGCACCTGGGGGCCGGGGGCCGGGCGCAGGGCGAGCCCCTCACCGGCCGGCATCCGCAAGCTGAGCTCTGCTCGCTGGGATCCCCAGGGAGGAGCCCTCGCCTCTGGCCGCCCGAACAGACCAGACCCCGCAGCCCCGGCACCCACTCCCACCGCGGCTGTCACCGGCCTCCTTCCGTGGTCCCTCATCCCCGGTAGGAAACAAGGTGTGTCTTGAACTGAAACGGGATGCACACAACCGCTTGTAAATCATGCAGCTAGTCTTTTAACACCACTCAAGGGGCCTCAAGCATGTGCCTGAAAATCAGATTCACTCTATCCGTGTGAAAAATGAACTTGCCTAGGGACAATGAGCAGTTTCATTCGATTTTTAAAAAATATATATAAGCACTGTGCTTACATGCCAGGCAGCCCTGAAACAGGCCTGGTGCGATTCTCCGATGTCTTCCTCTCGTAGGTATCACAGTTAACCAACATGATACGGCTAAAGCTAGCAAGTTCCCTGGATGGAACTGGGCTTCAGTTCGGAGATGAGAATTACATTTAAGAACTGTCTGCCTTTTATCAAACAGAAATTATTCTTATAGTCCACTTGGAAATTGTGCCAGGATAATATTAGAGTGTGTTTTTAAATAGCGGTCTCTTAAATTCAGTTGTCTGAATCTTAAAAACATTTTTGTGGTTTTAGTTTAGAAACAGTACGTTGTAGTTTAGGAAATCATGCATGTCCTAGGTATATTTGTTAACCAGATTGCCTTAAATTCTAACCACAGGGCAAATTATTTCCTACAGCTGGACACACTAATACGATACAATTTTATAGCGTGGATATTAGCATTGCCATTATGTTCTGAATTATGGTGTCTTTGTTATCTGAAGCTTTCAATTGCGTTTGCCAAATGCATTCCAAGGCCAATTTAAACTTCATGTGCCTAGATGGAAGAATGAAAGAAAATTTACAGACTATTCGTTAGTGCCACAATCTATACGTAACATCAGTCTCTCATCACAGCTTTTCGAACTGCTGTTAAAAACGTGAGTTGCGGCTGTTTACCAATTTTCTACTTTTGTAGAGAGCTCAGCTACTTTTTGCATATAGGTACAGTTAAGTCCCTTTATGCTATGCCTTGTGTGTTCCTCTTGGAAGTTACCTGGTCTAACCCATGGACGCCTAAGATCTGGAACATTTCCAAATCTGGCCGTGGAAGGGCTAGGAAATCTTGTACCGCCACTAGGTGGGGGACACCTGTTTTAGGACAAGATTGATGAAACACAAGCAAAACTGGGAGAGGGACAGAGAGCGCGGTTCCGGGGCTCCAAACTCATACTGGAGTTAGGGGACGCTCGGGTCTCTTCTCCGTGCCCCAGGACCCCACACCTCCCAAATGCAGGTCTCCGGTAACCAGAGCTCGGTGTTCCAACCCCATTCCCCAAAGCCGCGGCCGCCCTCCCACCAGCTGGGAGGTCCTCAAGGGCGTTTCTGGACAATGCCATCTCCAGCTCGCAGCAATCAGCGCGTAGTCGCCAATCCGGGATGCCCACCGACCGCAGGCTGCGAATTCGAGCAGCGTCACGTCGGCGGCGAGCTTCCAGTGAAAGGATTCCCGTCCTTTGCCCGCACTCTACAGAAGCACCCTCGCGCCTTCCTGCTCTAAGTCATCCCGAAAGCCTTCCGTACCTCTTCCTCTTCAGTTCTTCCACTTCCAAACTCGCACACCACAACGCGGAAAGCAGAACACCGAACAAGATAAAAAAGAAGTTTCCTAAAACACCTTTACCAGGTTCTCAAGGCGGCCCCTTTAAGGAACCAGGCCCACCTCTTTCCCAGTCACCTACTGGCTTTCCTTCCTGCCCGTCACTCTACCTTTAAGAATATTTCCTGTTCCTTCAACCCAACTTGCACACCTCCGCCCCCCGGCCCTCCTCATTGGGCCGCCCGAGGCCGCTTCAACGCTCGGCTTTCCCTCCACCTCCTCCCGCCCTCCAGCCTAGCGCAACGGCGTCCCGGCTTCTCATTGGTTACCACGGCACCCTCCCCGAGGCAGGATTGGCGGGCTGAGCGGCAGGGGCGGGCGCGCGGTGCACCCAGGGTAGGCTGTTCGCGTGCCGAGCGGCGGTCGCGGGAGGGGCGGGGAGGGGCGGGGGGAGGGGGGCTGGGAAAGTTGAGGCCGTGCTGCCGCCGGGTCTCCGGCCTTGAGGGCTCGGGCTCGCAGCGGCGGCGGTGGCCGCAAAAAGAGGCGGCGGGGGCGGGGGGAGAGGAGGGCCTGGGCCCGCGCTCCCCCAGCCCCGGAGGAGCAGGCGGCGGCTGCGGACCCAGAGATTCGCCCGGGCGGTCGGACACCCCTGCCTTCCCCGCCTAGGATCATGAGCCAGGCGGGAGTCGCCTCCGCCGCCGCCGCCGCCGACACCGCGGCCGACACCGCGCAGCCGGCGGGTGAGTGACTGCGGGAGGGGGCAGCTGACAGCCGGGGCGGGGGGCGGGGGCCGGGTCTGCGGGGGCGGCTCCGGGGGGCGGCTCCGGGCTCAGCTCCACCCACCCCCTCGCTGCTCCCGCAGGCGAGGGCTGCGCGGAGTGTGCCTCCTTCCTGGGGACCCCTGCGAGCGGAGCCTGGCGGGACGCGCACCCCGCTTTTCCCCGCGCCCCCTGCTGCCGTGCCCGCGGGGGGCTCGCCCTGTGCCCGGCCCCCGAGAAGCGTGCGGGGCCAGAGGCCCCACGCTGCCCTGGGTGCATAAAGAGCTGGACGTCCCGGTCCACGCCGGACGGCCCTGGGCTGCCTCCCTCACCTTCTCTTGTCTCCGCCCTCCTCCTCTTTCTTTGCCCTGTGAATTTCCTTCGGACCCGCTCCGCAGCCTCGCGCGGCTGGCCCTTTAACTCTCACTCGTCTGTCGGAGAGTTAGGCTGCTGGGTTTTCTTTTTCGAAGCCTGCCTTTTGCCTTCTGAATAGGAGCGATACAAGTGAATGGCCAACTCTTGGAATCTACTTCCATGGTTCCCAAAGGGGTAAAGGATGTTTTAACATTTTGGTTGGTTGAGTCCTCTCCTGCTCACTTTCCCAACTCGCCTCCTCGCTTTGAGGTATAGTCCTTCGTGTACGTTTATCTGGAGTGAGGAGGCTGCGTCTACCCAAGTGTGGGATCCTAACTTGTGTCCTCGTAGCGTTTTTACCAGTAAGTGGATACAGTGACCTCCCGCCACCAGACAGGACAGCCGTGGGCGATTTGGCGCCAAGTCGTGTAAAGAAGCCAGTTTGCTTACCTGTAAACCTTGTACAGATTCCTACGATAGCGCGGATTCTGAAGCATATTCTCACGTTTGTTTTCTTTCTCGAAGAATCAACAGGCTGCATCTTCTCCAACCCCTTCATGCCTTTTCCCTCCTTAACACAGGACGGCTGTTTAGTGTGCGCAGTTCCTGTAGGTGTTTCCCTTTACTTGTGAAGTGCTCTGAAAGTACTTGTTACAGAATCAGTAGAATACGTTATCATCATTGCACTTCTGAAACCAAGAGTGGTATGATGTATGTAGGTACTGCAAAGAATGAATACCAGATCTTGCATTTTGCTCGAAGGTAAACACTGTGACTTTTATGTACCTTTGTATTAGGTCTGTCTGTAGTTAAGAGAAGTTTCGGGAACTTTGGACAAGATGCTGCCCCGAACATTTTCCGATCATAGAAAAGCACTGCCTTGCAGGAATGTCAGGAAAGCTTAGAACTGAAGTAGTCACTTGCTAGGTTAGTTACTTGTGTATGGAACATCTCAGAAGTTAAGATTCCAGAATTGTAAGATTGAGGGCCTGCATTGTGGTCAAGCATGTACACCGTTGGGGATTCCCACAGCCCATATCAGAGTGCTGGTTCCAGTCCTGACCGTTCAGTGCTTCCTATCCTGCTTCCTGCTAACGCAGGTAGGAGGCAGTAGATGATGGCCCAAGACCTGGATGTTGCTCTTAGCTCCTGGCTTCTGCCTGGCCCAGCTCTGGCTGTTGGGAGTATTTGGGGAGTGGGGCAGTAGGTGAAAGGTCTATCTCTGCTTTCTGTCACTCTCTCTCTCTCTCTCTTAAGATTTATTTATTTATTTGAAAAGCAGACTTAGAGAGAGGGAGAGACGGAGACAGATCTTCCATCTGCTGGTTCACTCCCCAAATGGCTTCAATGGCTGGGGCTGGGCCAGAAGATAGCCAAGAGCGTCTCACGGATCTCCCATGTGGGTGGAGGGCCCCAAGCACTTGGACCATTGTCTTCTTTCCCAGGAGCATTAGCAGGGATTTGGATTGGAAATGGAGGAGCCGGGACTCAGACCCACATTTGGGATGCTGGCATCGCAGGTGGCGGCTTTACCTGTCAGGCCGCCCACCGGCCCCTCTGTCACTCTTTCAAATACAAATAAATCTTGAAAAAAAGGTAAGCTTCTACAGATAATCAGCTCAAAATCGTTGCTTCCTGCTCTAGCTGTACATACAGATGTATCTGTGGTGCTTCCCCTTTCTGTTCACTAGCCCAGCGAGTCTTGGTCTGGACTGAGCATAGAATCACTGTGTGTGCTGGTTCATTTTTAATGCCTAGGCCACTTCCCCCAGAGATTCTCTTTTTTATCTGAGGTGATGCTTGGTCATGGGCAAGATTTTTTTTTAAGCTCTCCAAGTGCTTTTATTCAGTAGCTAAGGCTGAGAACCACTAAATGTCTAGAACAATATGCAAGCTTCTAGGCTTGTGTTCGAGGCTTTTCTAAGTCAGGCCTTCATGCATGTGTTCAACAGCTTTTTCTTCACTGCTTCCTAACGTGAGCCTTTGGACCCTCTCATGTTCCATAAATACACTGTTTATGCCCCTGCTTTTATGAATGACATCGAAATATTTCTCAAAACATGGACTACCTATATTCCCACTCCTATATCCCATCTCCCCACCAACAGTAGTTTTAATTACATTTTTATGAAAGTTTTTGGATAATTTATTCTGGCTTCTGGTGACCAGCTTCCTTTAAACTTTTATGCTACATGTTGTATAAGACTATTTGTGCTTATAAAATGTATATAGATGGTTCATTACACACAAACTTGATAGCAAGGGGCACTTTATTTTGGGTCTTCTACAGTGGTTTAGGTTGGGTTGTTGAGAACCCTACTGACTCTGCTTGCAACCATAGTTTCAGGTTTGATTTCTCTCAGAATTGTGTTTTCTTTATTTTTGTGTTTTAGGACCTAACATTGCATTTGTCATTAGTTGGCACTTAATAAATGCTTGCTAAATAACTACCATGTTGTATTTCATACAAAAAAAAATGTAAAGATTTATCATGTTGATTTGTTAATGATTGTTTTTCCTGTTATATATGGAGGTATTTAAATTTTTTTGTGGAAAATGAATTGAAAAGATTAAAGTTTATTTTGGTGGAAAAAGTTAAAATACATGCTTAGTTTTTTCATAATATGCATTTTTATTTACTTTTTGAAGACCCATCATTTGCATGGATTTCACAATTTTTGCACCAAAATAAACTTACTGTTTAACTCCATTTTCCGTGAACTTTTTGAAATACCCTCCTGTATGTCTTAGAGTGTTATTGTAGATTTGTCAAAGGTTAGTGGAATATAAGTAATTGCAGTTGTGACAGACCCCTTCAGTACGTAATCTTCTATCCAATATGCAGAGGCAGATATACCTTAAGTCTTTACTCTGAGCTTGTTATCCATAAAATATTTGTGGAACTCTTGCTAAGAGAAAAGTCATTAACTGTCCAATTGGATAATTTTTCTTTTTCTCGTTAAATTTTCCATGTGGGTACAATTGCACTTCTTCAGAAGGCCAGATCTTTTAATTAGATCAGTAGGGCATGATAAGTTACTCCTATTAATGTGCTAATATTGTGTTTTTAATTCAGTTCATCAAGTATTTATTGAGTACTTACCATTTGCCCAACACTGTTAGGTGCTAAAGAGAATACAGAAGTAGCAAATGGTGGAATCAGCTCATAAGAACTTTCTAGATTTATTGGGAAAATGGGGAACACCCAAGTCAGATATCATGGGACTCAATGTAGTGCTCTTTGAATGCCAAATTAAGGATAAGTGCCCCAAATCTATGATGCAGTGATTAATATGGAAACATTAGGAAAGATTAGATATTCTTTCAACAGGCATCTATTACTCCTAAGCTGAATATGAAAGCCATAGCTTCTGCCTCTTAAAAATTTACAATCTAGTGGGAAGAAACTAATAGACATGTAGAGTATTTTATGTTAACACATTCTACGGTGTTGTGTCATGTTTAGGGCTCTGAAGAAGAGTATCTAGTCTAACCTCTAGGTATCATAGAAAGTTTCAAAGAGGATAATTAGGAGTTCCCAGTTGGAAAGTTGATATGGGCATTTCATTCCAAGTAATAGGTATAAAGATGTGGAAATGAGAGAGGGTGTTCCCTTATTAACTGGCTGCAATTAGATTGATCCCAGTAGAAGGTGATGTATCTGGGAGCACAGGTGAAGTCACACCAATGTGGTTCGTAAACCTTTATTCCTGAGAGGTCTGAGCCCTTGCAAATCTTGTCTTTGTAGGATAGCAATAGTCTGCTGGTAGCTTCACTGCTAGTCTGTTCAGTGAGGAGTTCCAGGACTCCCCCGGCTCCATGTATACTCCATATAATAATAACTCTTCCACTCTCATCTATTCCTGGCTGCAAGGGGAGGCCCACATAGCCTTACCATTATTGGGTTCCTGGTGAAAAGTCACAGTGAAGGGAACAGGGAGGAGAAAATTGTGGTGTAATCATAAGAAACACTTTTGCCTTGATGCCACTTGCAAAACCAATTTCTCTTTGGTTATAGCAACAAAAAGTGGCCTTGGGTAACTTAAGCAGTCAAGACTTGTGGATGGACTCTCAGTAAGTTCACAAAAGTGAAAGAAGATAGAAAAATGAAGCCTTGGGAAGGCCAGGAACCAGAAGCTCCCAGGATCACATAGTCAAGAAGGCTAGCTCAGCTCAAGCCAGCTTTCCTCCCTGTGCAGAGAATGTTACTGGCCAACCTTGTGCCCCCCAAGAGGTAGTCTCTGGTCACATCAGACTTCAGGAATAAGACAGAGAAGGTCCCCAAAAGAAGAGCAAGGCAGTATTGCCAGAAGGCCAAAACAGTAGGTATTTCCTACACAGTGCATTGGATTTGGCAGTGTGGCTGTCCTTTGGTGAACATGGTATAAGTAGCTTTAGGAATAAAAGTCAGGTAACAGCTGGTTGAAGAGTGACTGGAAATGTGAGGAAAAGGAGAGAGTGACTATGAACTACGTTCAAGAAGTCCTGAGGGTTGGGAGGAAGGAAGACTGGGAACACTAAGAGGGAGTATGCAAGCTCAGAAGAGAAATCACTTTAGCTTTTCAAAAGTAGGAAAAATGAACAAGGATATATTTTAATGAAAAACATATTAATAAGGAAAGAGATTAGTGCTATTTGAGAGACGTGATGTTGTACAACAAATTTACTGAGCAGTTGGAGTGATAGGGTTCAGAGTATAGGTCAAGGGTTTAGAGTTAACTAGAAATATTAGGGAAGATTTTATAAGGGGGACAGACTCGTGCTGAACTTTCAGGAGGTTGAAAAGATTTGGATAAGTAGAATGAAGTGAAAAGTCATTCCAGTGGAAAAATAGAATGGATTTGGCAAAAAGTAACCAGCTGATGAGGAGCACAGGCAAGAACCCATCTGACCTGGAGAGGAGTGAAGAGAGTAGGTGGTGTTACTTAGTGAGCTGGTCCTGGCCCTCTGTGTTGACCTCGATGGAAGTGGGCAAGTGGGACTTGCCAGTGGAGAAAGCATCATGAAAGCAAGGATGTTAAGCAATAGATGGTGAGAAGTAGCACCGTGATTCTGGAGCAGGCGAGGAACATGATGGAATCTGGTGAATTGGAAAGACTGATGAATCATTAGGGTGTAAAATCCATTGAAGAATAGGAAAATGGCAGGGGGAAAAAAGACTATGCCATGTGTAAAATGAAGTAACATATAGGAAGATGTGGACATTGTGAAAACAACCAGATAAGTTTGGATGAGATTTGAAGATCATTTTTGGGGTTAGAGCCAAATTAAAGTTTTAGTGTCATTGGTAAAACATCATGGAAGTAGGTCTCCTAAGTGTTAAGGCAGTTTAAGGTGTTCCAAACAGACTTCTACTTTTGTTATGAAATGGAATGTTCTGAGGAGAGCTTGGCCTAACCAAAGACTTGGAGCAAGATCAAAGTTGAAAAGTAGCTTTACTACAAAAATATGATGGTTTTTGAGCAGAAACCATTTGCAGTTTTGTTGGGAGGGTGGGGTGTAAAGCAGACAGACTTGAAACTCAACTGAGAGAAACAAAGATTCATGTTAGATAAACAGAGTGCATAATTGAAAGAGGAAGACAACCTAGGAGAGAGAAATTCATGAAAAGGGAGACATTGGCACCCTCAGATCCTGTTGATAGGACAGTGAGGACAGAGAAAAGGCCTTTGGTATGGTGACAAATAGTCCCTGACCTCGAAGTTGGTGGTGTCAGTTGGTGACAGCCATCAGAAGGCATACTGCCAGGAGTTTAGGGAGATTGGCCAAGGGAGTAGAGGTGAGACATTTTACGGAAATAGTAGAGAGATGGAATAATAGACAGAAAAGGCAGTAAACTCTCATTTAAGATGAGGAAAGTCCTTGTTTTTTGGAAGCAAAAGAGATAGTTAAGGAGAAAATATGGTACTAATGAGGAAAGATTCTAGCATGGAGTCTCTTTAAAGATCCAAGAGTTAGCTCCTTGAGGGCTGAAAGTACGGACACAGATGAGGGTCTCTTGTGGTAAATGTGGGATCCAGTTTAGGAACTTACTGCGAAGAGTTCTATCTCAGTCAATGAGGAGGGAGGAAGAAGAAAGAGGACTAACCAGGTACTGAGC